TAGTGCTAGACTCAGAACTTGTTCCACGATGCTCATCAAATGACCTTTGAATGCATAAGGAACTTCCTTTTCTTTGTGGTCTTCAATGTTGTCCTCTCAAGGTCACTAGACTTACTTGCTGCTCTCTTAAGCTGTGTGAATTTCATCCTCATCTCTGCCCAAAAAAGGAGCAGCAAGGAAGAAGTGACTGCTTGCCAGCAGTTCCTAGGAGGAAAAGAAAGTGAATTCACTTTGTTCTCTTCCCGCATTCTGTTTGCTTCCCACCTCCTTTGACTAGTCAGTTCTTACCCTCCAGAAAACATTCCTAACTTGCCCAAAAGTCACCATAATAGTGAGCTTCTTTTTGAAGCCAAATATGTTTAAGGTTTAAACCTAAATTTTAAAAGAACAGAAAGCAATTTTTGGAACATTTCTCACACTTCAGATTTGCATATGTGAATATACCTTAGACACCACCCCCCACCCCCCCCCACACTTCACACCACACACACAATTCAGCCATGGAGTGAAAGGGTTAGAGGACTGTGATAAGTACTACTTCTCAAACAGACATGATTATTTAAGCTGTTTAGCCCATTCTTCCAGTCTCTCTTTCTGCCTTTATTTTCTTCTTTCCATCAGATTACTATTGTACTATCATATTTTAATGTAGAACTTGAACACCCTACAGTGATTTCTTCTCTGTTTTTGAGAAAATGACGAGAGTGGGCAGTAAAAGATGTGGCCAATCTAACTATGCTAGAGCTTGACTTATACCTAGTAACACCCTAGGCCTCATGTACACACAGTAGCAGGGAATAAGATCCTCTGGGGAACCTTTCAAAACCAAACTCACTGCCATCGATTTGATGCTGACTCAAATAGTGACCCTATAGGACAGGGTAGAACTAACCCCGTGAGTTTCCGAGACTTGAGACTTATTTACCAGAGTAGAAAGCCTTGACTTTCTCTTTCAGATTGACTGCTGGTTTTGATATGGTTTGTTTGCATATCACAGTCTAATGGTTTGCATATCACAGTCTAATGGGTAACCACTGTGCTACCAGGGCTCTTCTGGGGAACATCGTAGAATTTAGCTGCTGCTTTGAACAGGTGATGGTATCAAGTTCTGGAGAGTTACTTGGAGCCATACAGTTAGGTTATCAAGGGAGCAAAAACCAGAAGTTGAGTCTCTTGACTTGTATTTGGTATTTTCCATGATCGAGATGGGACTGTTTCAAAGTTAAGTGATATTTTCATGACTTAATTCTGTGCTCACATTTTAATATTATTTACTTTCTAAAACATGATGTGAAATATTTTAAAGTAAGATATTTTTGTTGAATTATTAAAATATCTAATACAGAAATTCTAGTCTTTAAATAGTAAGCTCTCCAGTTACATACACATAAATTATGATCAGGTCTACCAAGGGCTCAAGTAGAAAGAAAATGTTTTTAAGAAGGATGATGGCAACAAATGTACAAATATACTTGACACAGTGGATATATATATGGATTGTGATAAGAGTTGTACGAGCTCCCAGTAAAATGATTTTTTTAAAAATTATGATCAGGTCACAGCCCCAATGTGCCAAATTTAGGGTGCTCATTGTGCTGTGGTCACTCATGTGGTAGGATATTAGGCCTCTAGATTTTGGGAAAATGTTTGATGGCTAGAGAAAATGATTTTTTAAAAAGTAAGGTTGTGTCATCTGCATATCACAGGTTTTAATTAAGTCTTCCTCCAATCCTGATGCTACATTCTTCATATAATCCAACTTCTCTGATTATTGCTCAGGAAATGGACTGAATAAGTATGTTGAGAGGATACAACCCTGACACTCCTGATTTTAACCATGTAGTATTGTTCTGTGCGCACAACTGCCTCTTGATCCATGTAAAAAGTTTCTCATGAATACAATGAAGTGTCCTGGAATTCCCATTCTTCTGAAGGTTATCTATAGTTTGTTATGATTCATATAGTCTAATGCCTTGTTATAGTCAGTAAAACACAAGTAAATACCTTATGGGTATTCTTTGCGTTGAGAAAGATCTCTCTGAGATTATTATTCACTACCTTTTGCTGACCGTGCAATGCTTTTTCTCTTTTCCTGTGTACCAGATTTGGGGATCTATTAGAGTAGGTTTGAAATGGGTCTTTCTGTACACAGATTATGCCACATAGAATGTACTTCTGAGATCAAATTGTAATTTTCTCGTCACTGTTAAAATCACTGACTGACTCTCTTGTTGGCAGTAAAAACCCAAGCTCACTGCCATCAAGTTGCTTGAGGCTCACAGGGTCCCTGTTTGCATGCAATAGTTGATGTTTAATCAGTGTAGACTTGTACATCTCTAGGGTCTCAGGAGCCTTCTGAAATTGCCCAGTTGTTTATTTTTTTAAATACTTATTTAAAACAACAACTAATTGCCATTGAGTGGATACTGACTTACAGCAACCTTCCAAGGTGGGGGAGAACTGCTCTGTGACTTTTCCAAGGCTGTAACACTTTATAGGAGTAGGAATCCTGTTGGCTGGAGGATTTGAGCTGTGTATCTTGCAGTTAGCTGCCCAACTCGTAACCAGTGAATCATCAGTGCCCCTTTTGATAGTGATAGGATCTGTAAATTGTTCAGATTCTCAAAAGGGTCTAGGTCAGCGGTTCTTATTGTGTGGGTCGTGACGAGTGTCGAATAACCCTGTCACAGAAGTCGCCCGATTCATAACAGAAGCAAAATTACAGTTATGAAGTAGCAACGAAAATAATTTTATGGTTGGGGGCGGGTCACCACAACATGAGGAACTTGAGAACCACTGGTCTAGGTTAATTAAAAAATCAGAAAATTGCTGTTTTATAGGATGAAATTTCCTTGTGGTGCTGAAAAGCATGCTCAGCTTTGTATAATTTCTCAAAAAGCTCCATTTGCTTTCTTGCTAGCTGATCTTCCACTTAAAACTCTCCTGTTTTTTAAAAAATATTACACAGTTCGTGCATTCTTGATTTCTACATCTCGTCATCTGTGTGAGATCCTCTAGGCTCCTGTAGTAGTTAACTTCAGCATGGGAGTCCTCCATTGCTTTACAGATGTTTTCTCACCTGGATATGGACATGTCAATGCCTTTCTCAGAGGTGTGTTTTACTCTTTAATTATGTAATGAATGGATAAAGTTTGGTAGTGTCCATTAGCAAATGGTGCTCATTCTTGTTAATTTGATTCGTCAGCCTACCTTTCTTACTAAGGATATGGATTTCCTTGTTAGATCACAAGCTCAGTTTCTTCTTAAACCCTAGAGTCCATATGAAGGAAAAGCTTTTTCTAACTAATAACTTATATTTATATTAGGTACTTGTGTAAAACAGAATTGCTCTTGTAGAAACTTTAGACAGTTGCTGCATTGAAGATGACAAAGACTGTCTCCCAATAAGTGGAGCCATGTTTTCTTCCATCTTTGGAACAGCTTCACTGTTGTGTGTTTATAGCATTTCCTCTATTCAGAAACTTTTTAAGGAAATTCAGAGGAGAGGGTGACTGAGGCAAAGACAAAGATGGTGTGACCATCTCTGGAGGGGCTACTGCCTGGTATAGTAAGTATATGGGCAGCAGTGACGGGACGGCGGGGGGCACCTAAAGGTGCTTGAGCCTCTGGCTGCTTATATATCTTTTAAAGCCAGCCTTGTTTGGGGTCGTTGCCTGACTTTTTTTTCGGTCGTTGGTATTTCATGTCTCACTTTCCTTCCCGCCTGATTTTATAATTGGAAGATTATATATTAATATAACGCTTAAGCTGTGTAATTAGTATTAGGTATTGAAATTGCTGGTATTGAGCTCTAATAGCCGGCACTGGTTGGGCTGCTCTAACGGAAAGGTTAGCCTTTTGAAACCACCAGCTACTCCCCAGAGGGAAGTTGAAACTTTGTGCTTCCACAGAAATGTGCAGCCTTGGGGAACCCATGGGGTCCCTTCTGCCAGTAGTTCTCTAGAGTTGCTGAGTTGAAAACTATCTGCAAACTGAGACTTGAAATTGCTGTTTAACTTATGTACGTTGTGCTTCTGTTTCCTATGGAAACATATTGTGTGTGTGTGTGTGTGTGTATGTGTGACACACATTGTGTGCGTGTGTGTGAGTGAGACACACATTGCAGTGCTTATACTAACATGTGGCTGCGCTCTTTTACATTTTGTATTCAGTGTTTGAGTATATTATCCGTCATAACAATTTGAATTTATGTAGTGCATTTGGAATTGTTTGTGGATATTACACTTCAGGAATTTTAATCAATCATGTAACTCGTACATATTAAACTAAGATTATATATTATAAAGCAATCTACATGGCTTAGTTACTGCGAGTCAAAGTACTGTGAGACCTCAGATGTTATGATAACTGCTATTACGTGTAGCTATTTAGTTTTGGAAATATGGCTAGGAGCCCTGGTGGTGCAGTGGTTAAGCACTTGGCGACAAAACTAAATAGCTAATTTTTAAATTTTATTTAATTGTAATGAATTTTAAGCCTTAACTAGTCATGTGTGGTTAATGACTATCATAATGAACTAGAAGACTTTTATGTAACCCAGTTTTTCCAACTGAGAAGAGAAGATAAAATTTAATAAAACTTAAGTTGTGTAATTAGTATTAAGTATTGAAATTGCTGGTATTGAGCTCTAATAGCGGGCGCTAGTTGGGCTACTTCACTGGGTTATAAGAATTAGATAACATAATATATGTGGAGGTTTCCATTAAAGTGGGAAAATGTAATGAAAAGCTACTAATGGAATTTTTCCATGAACTTTTTGAAGTCCCCTCGTATTTAAGGAACTTAACATAATGCAGCTCTGTTGCAGTGAGCTTGGATTTCTTTGATTTTCTTAACACAATACTTGATGCAAACTATGTCCTTGAAAACTGAGCTAATTGTAATGACTACTACATATTTAATATGCTGGAGTTACTTTCTTTTCAAAATTAAACATCTTTGTTTTTATTCTTTCCTTCCAGGATTAATGTATTTTTGGACATCAAGTGCAATATTGAGAGGAAAACAAGTCACATCATTGTTGAAGTCATTTCTGCTTATTTTATTTGTAATTTATGATTTGATTTGAATACAGTAATGGGGGGAGCTGTGAGTGCTGGAGAAGATAATGATGACTTAATCGATAACTTAAAAGAAGCTCAGTATATCCGCACGGAAAGAGTGGAACAAGCCTTCAGAGCTATTGACCGTGGAGATTACTATTTGGAAGGCTACAGAGACAATGCTTACAAAGACTTGGCCTGGAAGCATGGCAACATTCACTTATCAGCCCCATGCATTTATTCTGAAGTTATGGAAGCATTGCAACTTCAACCAGGATTGTCTTTTCTTAACCTGGGAAGTGGAACCGGATATTTAAGTACAATGGTGGGCTTGATTTTAGGTAATTTTATTTTTGTAAAATTTTATTTTCAAGTAGATTAAGCTGTTTATATTTCTGTATGTGATTTATAGGGTATATAGCTTTGTATATCTTTGAGTGTGTGTATTCACAATAGTAATCTTTCTTAAATGTGGAAACACAAGGCAATATTCTTCTCATCCCAGCCCTAATTTCGGGAGTTATACTTAGGTCCTGCCGACCATCCTAATCTTATAGTAGCTCTTGGAACTCGTCTTTGATCTTCAATTGTTATCTCTGTTTGAACAGCTAGCTGATAGGCAGGCAGCTCAGAACTGTTATATAATCTGTTTCAGAAAAATTATTCTGACTGCTAGCTAGAAAGTTTGGTAGTTCACAATGACCCATTTTAAATAAGAGGATTGTGCTGGTTCCTTGTTGTTGGAGAGATGGGTGTATGGTGAAGACTGTGTAGTGCTGGTGGGGCAAAGAAAGGTTGGAGAAAAGTACAAGGAAGAGAGCAGTCCATCTTCACTAAACTGTTAGTGTATTTATTGATTATCTACACTGTCAGGCATTGTTAAAGGAGCTGAGCAGCAAATAGGGACAAAGGTCTCTGACCTCATAGAGCTTATTGGATGTCACCCACTACATGGTTTGAAGCACTTAACTTAGAGTGATTCTTCCTAATAATCCTTGAACATGTATACTATTATTACTTCTATTACATAGGTTAAGAAAGTGAGTACAGAGAGCTGAAATACTCATTTAAGGCCAGATAGCGAGGGAATGATATCTGGGAACATAGGGGATGTGAGTGGTTGCAGGTAGGTGGAAGGAAATCTGCTACAAGACATGCTTACGCTGTTTCATCAGTTAATCTGCCATATTTACTGAGTGCTAATGTGTACCACCAGGCACCCTGGTAGCGTACTGGTTATTTGATGAGCTGCTAACTTCAAGGTCAGTAGTTCAAAACCACCAGCCCCTTAGAGGGAGAAAGGGCTTTCTACTCTCATAAAGTTACTATCTCTGGAACTCCCAGGTGCAGTTCTACCCTGTCATATCCAAAAAGCTCTCTGCCAGCGAGTCAGTACTGACTCATAGTGCTCCCCTGTGGGTTTCTGGGACTGTAACTGTTTATGGGAGTAGAAAGGTCAGTCTTTCTCCTGCAGAGCTGCTGGTGGTTTCAAAGTCCAGCCCAACACGTAACCACTACAGAGTCACTATAAGTCAGCCTTGACTTTATGGCAGCGAGTTTAGTTTCCTTTTTTGAGACTATCAAAGGAGCCTCGGTGGCACAGTGGTTAAGATCTCATCGCTAGTGAAGTGTCAGCCCTTTGAACCTGCAGATTGCTAAACATGTGGCAGTCTGCTACTCTGAAGATAACAGCCTTGGGACCCTTGTGAATGAGTTTTACTCTGCCCTGTAGAGACTAGAGAGCGAGAGAGAATAGTCCATGGAAAAGGGCATCATGCTTGGTAGAGCATCAACGGAAAAAGAGAAAGCCTCTCAAGGAGTTGGTGTGGCACAGTGCTGCAACAGAGGGCTCAGACATAACCACTGCGAGACTGATGCAAGATAGGCAGTGTTGTGTAGCTGTGAGTTGGAAATGAGGCAACGGCACCTACGAACAGTAGAGATATTTTGAGTTGGAATAAAATACTGTTGTGTTTTGGTTTGTTGTTTTTTGGAATGTGTGTCAAACATTAAGGTAGAGCATTAAGGCCTATAACATTGACTCTTAACTCTTGCCCTTGAATTTTGCTTTCTGATGTGGTAAAAGTGAGGTGGGAAACGAGGACAACATAGGACACTGTGTGTGCTATCATTGAAGTTTACGCTCAAGATACAAACATAGGCTGTGGTTTAATATTTGTTCTAAAGTGATATGTATGAAGGATTTTAATAAGAGAAATGGCTTACCCTCTTAAAGGTGACCCTGTGTCCCAGTTTCCTGAGACAGTCCTGATTTATCCCTATTGCCCTAGCATCAGAATTCATGGTATCCCTTTTTGTTCTCAGAATAATCCCAGTTTGGACAATTTATCATCATTTTGTTTAACTTTTAAGGGATTTTCAGGCTCGACATTCCCCATTCCTACACATTAGGTAGCCCTTTACTCTTTCAGGCATAGAATTTGTGATATATTTAAGGCGCACACGTACACGTACACATACAGTCCTCTTTCAGTCCATAGTTGGGTCTGCTTTTGCTACACAGTGACTTCTTGAAAATGGCAATGATTAGTAATTTTTACTGGTGAAGAGAAATTTAGATGATTACATTTAAACATGATTGATGCCTATCCTTTTCACTAATATTTTCTCAGTATGCTGGAATAATGTTTTGAGCTTGATCCTTGATGTATTTAGAATGTATTAGTAGTTTATTTTTTAATACTGAATAATATTCTGTTGAATGGATATATACCACATTTTGTCAATTTCCCAGTTGATGAGCATTTGAATTGTTTCTACTTTTTGCTATGATGAATAATGTTGCTATAAACATTCGCTTACAAGTCTTTGTGTGGACATCGTGTTTTATTTCTCTTGGGTGAATTCCCAGTAGTAGAATTGTTGGGTAGTGTGGCTAATTTGGAGCCCTGGTGGCTTAGTGGTTACCCATTGGCCTGATAACTTGCAAAGTCAGCATATTGAAACTACCAGCTGGTCTTTGAGAGAGATGGGGCTTTCTCCTCCCATCAAGAGTTACAGTCTCAGAAAGTCACAAGGGCAGTTCTACCCTACCCTAACCCTATAGGGTTGATATGAGTTGGCATCAACCTGATGGTGGTGTGTTTGGTTTTAATGGCTAATTTATATTTAAGAACTTATTAAATTGTTTTCAGAAGTTGCTGTACTGTTTAATTACAAATAATGCACGAGATTTCAATTTCTCCACATCCTCATTGACATTTATTATTTTCTCTCTGTGTGTGTATATTGTGCCTTTCTGTACTTAACAGTCATTTTAACTGCGTGTGAAATGATATCTCGTTGTGGTTTTAATGTGCACTTCGCTAAGGAGATCTGATGGCCCTGAGGTCTGTAAGGCATTGGGTTACTAACCAAAAGGTTTGCAGTTGAAACCTCCCAGCTGCTCTGCACGAGGAAGATCAGGCTGTCTGCTCTTTTAAAGATTTATAGTCTTGGGAACTTTGTAAAGTTGGTGTGATTTGGGATCAGCTGTGACAGGGGTGTCTTGTTTGAGGTTTTAATGTATGTCAAAGGAGTCCTGGTCATTAGTGGTCAAGAGCATATCTGCTAGCTTAAAAGTTGGCATTTTGAACCTACCAGCTGCTTCTCAAGAGAAGTCTGTTTCAATAAAGATTATACCTTTGGAACCTTATGGGTTTCTACTCTGCCTTAGGGGGGGGCGCTGTGTGTTTGAATCGACTCAAGACAATGGGTTTGCTTTGGGGAATGACTAGTGATATTGAGTATGTATTCATGTGCTCACTAGCCATTCCTATGTTTTCTTTGGAAAATGTATATTCAAATTACCCCAGCCAGAAATTTGAATTTCAGTTTGTTTGTTTTTTTCCTTAAAAAAACCAAAAAACCCAGCAGTATGAAATGGCATACTTCGAAGTTTTCCATTTTCTACTTCTTTAGAGGTTGCATTTCCATTTCGGTAATAACTTATAAATAGATCCAGCCATAAGATAACCAATTCATTGTGTGACATTCACTGTAAATAGGAATGATTATTGATTGAAGTCACGAGGTTTTTAGGAAGCAAGGATAATATGTATTGTAATTTAGAAATCCATAAGCCAACTAAAATTAATAGGTATTTTGAATGGAGTCTGGAAGATTTTCTTGTGAGAGTACTCCCCATTCCATGGTGGTATATACATGAGATATACAGGGGTACCCCAAAAGGATTTTTTTATGTATTTACATTTTTTAACAAAACAACCGTACCACCTTCAAAGTACTCTCCATTATACTTAACACATTTGTCAAATTTGGAAACATTTTTCAAATTCATCTGTTTGGATGGTTGACAGCACTTCCCTCGTTTTTCTTCACCTCTTCTACATCATCCAATCACTGTCCTTTCATTTCCCTCTGTATTCATGGAAACAAAAAGAAGCAAGAATGGAGCAAGGTTATGTGAATAAGATGCATGAGGCAAGAGAGACATGCTGTTTTTTGCCAAAAATTGGTGCACTGAAATGGCTGCGTGAGCAGGTGCATTGTCGTGATGGCAAAACCAGTCCCGTCTGCCACAGATCAGACCTTTTTTACCGCACAGTGTTACGCAGTCTTTTCAGAACCTTTAAATTCTGACTGGGTGCACCAGACTACAAATGTGCTATCCCCCTCACATCCCAAAACAAATGAGTATCAGCTTGATCGATGATTTCACTTGACAAGCTTTTTAGGGGCCAGGTGTTGATGATGTCTTCCACTGGCTTGATTGATGTTTGCTTTCAGGGTTATAATAAATAATAGCACCATGTCTTGTCACCAGTAATGACCTTGGGAAAAAAGTCTGGGTCACTGTGGAACTGTTGTTTCAAAGCACAGCATGTTTCCAGTTGATGCTCTTTTCCTGGTGAAGCACAAATTTTGCAGTGATTTGCATCCCCAAATCTTCCATTAAAAGTCATTGAACTGAGCTCCAAGATAGTCCAGATAGCTTTGCCTTCCCTTCAATGGTCTGTCGATGGTCTTCGAGCACAAGTGCTCAAATTTTGTGGAGCTTTTTGTCTAGGAAGTTGACGGACATCCAGAAAAAGGTTTGTCATCAGTCGACATTGTACCTTTTTTGAAGTGAGAAAACCACGCATACACTTGAGTGTTTTCTATAGTGTTTTCCTTGTAAACTGTGTTCAGCATCACAACAGTTTCTGCAGCATTTTTCCCCAAGCAGGAAACAAAATTTCACAGCCACATGGCTGTTCTCTTAAATCAGTCATGCCCTAAAACAAGGTAAAGCGAAACTGCTTTTATGAAAAAATTTCTCTTGTGACCAGAGAGAACCTTCCCAGGCAATGCTACTGGGTGCACCAACTCAGAGGGAGTT